CTTGGAAAAAAAAAACATGGCCCAGTCCTCCACCCTAAGCCCTAAACCCCTAGGGATGCCTAGGGGCATGTTTTGATTGTAGGTGCTCCCCTTGGACAGTTTTGTGGGCTAAACCCTAAACCCTCAATCCTAAAAGGGTTTAGGCCTCGAAGTTTAGGGCTGGGGGATGGCCCTGCATCATTTGGACTCCTCTTCCGTCAGCTTCGTGTCTCCAGGTTTGGGGTCTGTAGCTGGAGTCCAGATTTAGCCAAACTGCAGAGTTCAAGTGAAGAACCTGAGGTATATAGCCGGGGCCTCTTCTACCACACTTCAAAAAAGTAGCTTCTTATATAGGGATATATAGGATAATATAGGGTAATATAAGGTAATATAGGGTGGTATATACTAGGGTATAATATTGGGTTTGTATTCTGAAAGTTTAGGGTTTAGGGTTTAACTGCCTATGTTGCATTCAACACTTTGACAGCCTGTCAATGCTATACCAAGGCCCCTGCATTAGCCAACGCAGGAGTGCACACTCCTGGAGAGATATGGGGGTTTCCCACAATTAGGGGCACCCTTTTTTGGGTGGGGGTTTCCATAATAAGGGTTATAGTATTTTGGGGTCCATATCGGGGTCCCCTATCTGGGGAAACTGCCACATATTTTTACGTGTGGCGCACTACCCTCTTTGGCAGTCTAGGTTGGCATTTGCACGCCGAGCACTTTTGTAAGCAAGTGCCCTACACTTGGTTATCAACCACAACGACACTGTTCTCCCACGCCATGACAAAGTTCACTGATTCTGCTGCTACAGCCCTGGTTGTCCGTCCTTGTGTGTCAGCATGTTGCGGAATCGAAGGACCTTTGGCTTGAGGCTGAGCATAGTGGCATCGTAGGCCGCTGTTCGTGGAAAACTCTCATTGAGGTTCACCATCGCCGCATCGTGGCAGTCAGTGCTTCAACCTGTCAGCAGTTTCTTCCATCACCACCTTCAGGCTTTCAAGCTTCCCAAGGCAGAACTTGCTAAACAGAAACATGGTAAGATAGTCGTTTCCCCTTGGCTTTCCTTCTTTCATTCCCCACCAAATGCAGTTACAGTTGCCCCCTGCCCTTTGTGAAGCCAACCGTTTCAGGACATGCCCAGCTGCCTGGCCATCATAGGTCCTGTTGCAGTCCAGGCCAAGCGCTCAGCATGAACTTGCCATGTCTTGACTGCATCTGCATAACTCGGCATCTACCAAAAAAGCCTGGACACACCAAGTCGGATGCTACGAAACCGGCTAAGGCCAAAAGTAGAAATTTAGACGGAAAAGAAGTGCTGCAGGCATGATCACATAAAACATTTGCTGCATCTTGTGAGCAATTAAACTTGAGCCAAAAAAAGGTGCCAAAAGGTATGGCTATCGGAAGCTTGCAGCATGTACCATTTTGGACAAGCGAATACTAGAAAGAAGGACGGGGGCCATTTTTGCTGCAGCTTGCCACTGCACATCTACTCACAAATTCAGGGCATTGGTAACCAGAATGTCGCTGATTTTTGACAGAACATGAATGCCCAAGTGAGCTTCCCAGACGCACACAAAGCTTTAGGCTTCAAGGTAGCCTGCAGGATTATGAGCCGCAACTGTGGCTTGACTGCTTATGAAATTTGATCTAGGTGGTAGCGGATTTCCGCACTGTATGCCATGCACTGCCACCATGGGAACCTGGTCTTGCAACACCAGCATTGTTGCTGGGATGTTCCTTCCACCCCAGCTCATTGAATCATGGCGGCTTCTCTAAACAACAAGTACACCTTAAGCCTAAGCCCCCAACCTCCAACCTCCTAAACCTCCCTGCAGGTGCTCTCAACCTCCTGCGAACAATTTTTAACCCTCCTTAAGAACCCCCTCTTCTAGGAACACCCCGCTTCGGAGACTTCATTCAACCCTCCGGGTGGACGCGAGGTTCTCTGAGGGGGGCCATGACAAACCTTGCTTGAGGCAGTACATGTTAAAAAAAGTATACGGGTCATATGGGGGGTATGTTGGGGAACGGAATAAGGTACAACCCTAAAGCCTAAACCTGTAAACCCTCGGCCCCCTTGAGCTTTTTTCTTCAGCAGGCGCTGGCTCATGGGTTTTGGCCGCCTTGCGCTGGGGCGGGCTCTGCAGACGCCTTGGGCAAAGCAATGGTTGCACAACGACTGGACGGACATCTTGAGAAGAAACTTCTTTGTCTATCGTTAGTATTATTTTCCACAGTTTCTACCTCTTAATCTGAACCCCTTGTCGGAAACCATCCTTGAAAAGTTGAGCTGGTTCTAAAATGCAGGGCTGAGGGTTTCAAATATCAGGGCTGAGGCTGAAGGCCTTGTCTTGACTGGGTGATACCCGCACTATTCAGTGATCTATCGCGCATCGCAAAGAGTTTTCTGGACATCCTGGCATCCTCCACACTGAAGCTCGCGTCAAGCCTGCTGTCATCACCCTCACTTGGGTGAGACCTCTACACACTGATGGCTACACAGCAGGGACAAAGGGACCTTAACTAACTATGGGGTGGAGGGCCGTAAGACAGTGATTATCTGCATCAATTGTGGTCAGTATCAGTCCCCTCTCCTAATAACAAGCCACCCCACCCCCTCATAACATTTTTCCCTCATGCAAGGATCTGAGTATATTGGGGTCATTCATTATTTAGAAGGTGGGGTGGCTCATGATTAAATCTGAAGAGGATTTCAAGATATCTGTTGGCAGCCTGAGCCTAGAAGCAATCTGTCAAAATAGGGGATTCTTTTAAACAAGCATTTTTAAACACCCCTGAATGGGTTTAGGGTTGAGGGTAAAGCTACCAAAGAAAAGCTATGCAGCTTTCAGATATTTCTCTATACTGCTGCCGCATAAGCCTTGACCCCAATGCGCACTCAGCAGCCCTGAAATTTTGCTTACTCTCCAAAGAAACGTCCTCCCCTCTTTGGCCCTTGTATATCGAACCATTCCTCAAACACGGGATTTGTGGATATGCACCCAAATAAGATGAATATAATATATATATGTATATGGAGAGAGATATGTCTTTATATTGGGTGGAATATGTATTTTTGGCGCATGGGTTCAAGATTATGATTCCTAGGGGTACGTGATTAATCAAAAGAGATACCTAGCAGTTTGAGATGAAGTCTCCAAAATCCAAAGCCCTGCAACCCTGAAAAAATAGGCGCAAAACCCTGAACCCGTAGACCATAAATGATATTCCACTTTACTGTCCGTTCCTTTGTTCCCTATTCGTGAAACCCTGAACCAAGAAACCCTAAGCCCTGAACCCTTAACCCTGAACAAAGCCCTACCCTAAACCCCAAAAGTATGTAAAATCATAGCCCTAAACCCCTAATCACAGCCATAAAGGCAATGATTTTGCATACTTTTGGGGTCCAGGTAGCCTAAACCCTACACCCCTGGATTTCCTGCGCGGCATCATGCGAAGCCGTCGTGAAGGCCGCAGAGGCACGGGCCTCACTCCGCCGCTTTTTACGGTTTTAGGGTTTACGGTTTTTGGGTTTAGGATTTGGGGATTGGATTTAAGGTTTAGGGTTTAGGATTTAGGTTTACTGTTTAAGGACATTACCGCCAGCTATGGAGAATCACATGGACAAGAACACTGACAAATATATGGCAACTAGGGCTACATAGGGGACTTCCTACTTGGGATTTTGCCGTTTGGTTTTTAGATTAACAGTTGGAGCTTGGCATTGTGCACTTGATGTATGTTGCGTTTCGAGTGGGCTTGAGGCTGTAGTACCGGGGGCTGCTCACGGTACTCACTTCCCCCCACTTCCAATGTTTCTACATCCAAAACGCCTGCATAACCCCAGTTCCATTTCATTTTCCAGCTTATTGTCCATTTGATTCTCCATTATAGGGGGATAATATCTAAACCCTTTCAGTGTTCAGGGTTCCATTCCAACCTTATCAAAACTGCTAAGCCCAGCAAGCAGGGAACTGCTTTCTCCGTCAGTGGAAATGTATCAGGAAATCCTTGTGTGCAACTTCTGCGCAGTTCCGTGCAATCGTGCGCATCCTTTGTTGTTTTCAGAGTTCCCTTAACCCTAATCCCTACATGTAGTTAGGATTATGGAGCTTTTCGGTAGCTTTTTCAAACTTACAAGCCGCGTTGGGTTGCTGTTAAGGAACTTAAGGTTACATCAATCGTGGAACCCTATTATGTGGCGTATACCCATATTATTGCAACTTAATTTCACTTCCTTAACATCAACCCAGACGCTGCATCGTGAGTTCCTACACGCTAAGCTTTGAACCCCCAAGCCAGGGATTGCTCAAACCCGGATCTCTACCACCTGGTGGCTCCCTTTTATCCGTATTTCGCGGCTGCGGGATCATCCTCTTTCGCCGGAGCCCGGCCCAGGAACTTGCGGTACTCCATCTTCATGAGGCGGCCTTTCTGGGGGCTGGTTTTAGGTCATTGATTCGACGGGCCTCTGAGGGTTCATGATTCATGCTGAAGTAGAACCCAGATTTCAAAAGTGGCCATAGCTGATCAAGCTTCTGTTTGCTGTTGCGTGTGGGGGGGGGGGGTTGGAGGGGGGTTACAACATGGGCTTTGCAAGTCATTCGTTTTCGGTACCATAAGAGCTTCGATGCAGCCAATTCCTAAATTTGGGCCCACCTAAACCCCAAAAGCATGTAAAGTACTAGCCCTGAACCCCTAATGACAGCCATTAATCAAGGCCATTATTTTATATACTTTTGGGATCCAGGCAGTCCAGCCAAGGCAAAGAGTCGAGTAAAGTCTGATCAAACCACACGCTACCAACGCATCAAGGTATTGAACTGGTTGACAGATGGCCCTTTTTACCATCTTTCCCAGAAAAGAATCCCTAGTACAGGGCCCAAAGCAAACCTGCAATCTTCAGGAACTCCTACTAGCTTGGTGCTGCTCGTATCCAGAAAGCTTACGGGAAGCGTTCAGGCGCAGGGGTCTGATGCTTGCATACTGGGTGGGCTAAGGTAGCTCAACTTAAGATCAAACATGCGCAGCAGTCCGATGTCGGGCTTGGGGGCTTGGCTTCATGATTTGAAGACACTGCTGAGCCTTTCATCACATAAGTCTTGGTCGAGTAAGCCATGTTGGGTAAAGGGTGTTGACTTTTGAGGAGAACACCTCTGAATCCTGAAGGTCTTTGCGACGTTGCTGATGCTGAAACCTTCGCAAGTCTTGGAACAGACCTCCTGAACCACGAAAACAATTCTGAACTGAAACCAGAGCTCAAGCCGTCGTTATCGGGTCCTAGCCCTGAAATTCAAAGCTGTTTTACCTTAGTCCGTCGTGAGCCTCATGTTTCAGACCCTGATCTTAAAAGTTCTGGAAAGCTCAGAATCCGAACCCTTGCTGGTGGTCAAGCGGGAGCCGGGGTGTGAACATAGACGTCGTGGGGTATTTAACTACTTGGACCCCCAAAGGATGTGGAAATAGTGCCTCTTGTTGACTGTTTTTATGGGGTTTAAGGCCGTTACTTCACCTACTTTTGGGGTCCAGGTAGTACACCGATTTTATACGGTAGGATTTCTGCTCCGTATGGTCTCCCCGAATGCAGACCTCTGTGCACAATCTCAAGCTGTCCTACCGCATCCTATATAAGCTATGACCTAAAGTCCTGGTATCCCACTTGATAACCCCATAGTACCCCGCTATAAAAGCCCTTTTAAGGAGTTTAGACTATGGCCATAATGGCCCATACAAAAACTCTAACGCCCAAGGACGGAAGAACAACCTCTACCCATGGGAATATAGGGAAATGCAGGAATAATGGAGAATCAAATGAAACAAGAAAATGAAATGGATACTTTTACATACTGGTAAGAGTTGTATACTGGTACCAGTTGTATAATAATCCGGGAAAACACCTCTAGGGATCATTGTAAAGATCCACTCCCCCATTCCATACCTTCAAACCCTGAACCTCCAAGCTTTCAACTCTAAAGCTCTCGAGCTCGCAGCCCTTAAACCTCGACCCCTGAACTCCAAGCCCTAAACCCTAAACCCTAAGCCCTAAACCCTTAATCCCTCAGAGTCCCTGAAAAGCATCCTCTTACGGATTCCTGCAAGCATCCCTCATAATGTGAAACCACCCTGGGCTCTCTTTTCATGGGTTCATGCCTTTTTTGTGATCCCTTTTTATGGCCGGCTGCCATTGCTCTTCTTTTAGAAGCCTCTCTAAACCCTAAATCCCTAAACCCTAAATCACTACTCCCTAAATCCCTAGTCCCTAAATCCCTACATCCCTAATCCCTAAACCCTGAATCCTTGAACCCTACACCGTAATCTCTACCTAAACCCTAAATCCCCAAAGAAGCTTCATATATAACCCCTATTATACTATAGTAGCTTCCATTTTCTTTTCCATTATCCTAATATATCCCCAATATAATCCCTGTTATACTATAAACCCCATAATCCCCTATATAATCCCAGTTTCCATTTCATTTTCCATTTTCTTCTCCATTTGATTCTCCATTATTGGGTTAATATCCCTATATACCCTTTAAAGGGACCTAGGGTTTCCATTTCATTTTCCATTTTCTTTTCCATTTGATTCTCCATTCTTCAGGGGGATACTAGGAGTTTAGAACCCTAAACCCTAAACCCTAAACCCTTTTCCATTTGATTCTCCATTATTCAGGGGGATACTACAGCCGGTAAGCCTGCGGCTCCCAGGCTGATAAAGCTGACCAGAAGCGCCACATAGCCCATGATTCCCATCTCAGGGTGTGAGGCTTCAGGAAATTTTTAGGGTTTAGGATTTCGGACTTAGGATTTAGGGTTTAGGGTTTAGGATTTAGGATTCCCATCTCAGGGTCTGGGGGTTTAGGGTTTAGGGTTTGAGGTTTAAGGATTTATGGGGGCTATATTGGGGGATAGGTGGGGGGCCTATGGGGCTTGCAGCTTGGGGTTCGGAGTGTAGGAGGGGTTTAGAGCCCATCATTGACATCTCAGCTGTGGGTTGACCGGCCCAGCGCTTCTGAACGATTCTTACCTGCGATGCCCTGCATCAAGACAGATAGATCTCGGCTGTATAGTTATTTCAAGACTTCTCCTCGTCCACATGAAGAATGGGGGACAAAGGAAGGACACCTAAACTCATCTCGGTTGCGTAGTCTACATTGCATAATTCTTGCTATCCATCATTATATTGTAACTGAGAGTCGCCTGCCTTGCGCGTACCGGGTCATGATACTGACTGAAAACCGGTCAGACCTCCACATAAGATCCTCCAGCTGTGATTCGGAGTCCTGACACCCTAACACTAAACCCTGAGACCCCCAAACCCTAATGCAAACAAAAGTTCCCCGCCTCACCACTTCGGAAGCGCGCAACCAGGAGGAGCAGGAACCTCCAAAGATCGATTTGTATTATGAAGCATGGGTTACAAACTAGAACAACACTTACTGGTTCTCAGTAGGGAATCCCTCTACAGCCCCTATATAATGTATTCCCCCATTACCTACTACGTCCCAATAAGCAAAAAAGACATTTCCCAAGAGCTTGTGCACTACATTGCCGACCCATTATCCCCAATAGAACCCCAATATAACCCCAATATGTACCCTATTATAGTAGTTTCCATTTTCTTTTCCATTATTCCATTATCCCCAATAGAACCCCAATATAACCCCAATATATCCCTTTAAAGGAACCTAGGGTTTCCATTTTCTTTTCCATTACCCCAATATAACCCCAATATAACTGAGCCATCCACTGTAATCATCGTAGGAAGGGATCCTGGGCCTCGTTTCCAAGAGGTTAACATCTATGCCATCACTGCATC